CGTATATCTACTAATCTCGTTCGATGCTATGTGCTGTTATTTCCACCGGCGAATCATTCGCGTACACAAGGTTGCTAAAATGTTTGGAGACACATATTTCCTCTTTTTCGTAAATAACTATTATTGTCGCGGGACCTACCAATATCAATCTAGCCTACCAACCTACCAAATGAAAAAAAAACTTCCAGTTTTGGTAGGAAAAGCCCATGTATGGCAACGCTGCTCGCAGTGGTTAGGCGAGTAGCTGTCTATATACTCACTCGGCTAGGTAAGACGGGTGAGCGACGAGCGAGCGCTCGGAGTGTACTTACAACACATGCGTTTTTGTGCATAAAATTTTTTGAATGTATGTCAATAGAATATGTACTAAAATATGTTAATATATGTGCAGGGATCGGATTTTTAGGACCTTAAAACCTATAAAAAAGGCAAAATAAAATAACGAAATAAAATAGCGAAATAGGCAGAAAAAGGCACTAGAATTCGCTAAAAAGGCAAAATAATGCACTAACAAAGACAAAAACCGAAAAATAATCAAAAAATACATATATTTTAGAAATGTTTATTTTACAAGTAAAAAGAGAAAGATATTAACTAGTTTCATTATATGAAAAATTTGTACTTCGAATCTTTGACTGTTTTCTTTTNAATAATGCACTAAAAAAGACAAAAACCGAAAAATAATCAAAAAATACATTTATTTTAGAAATGTTTATTTTACAAGTAAAAAGAGAAAGATATTAACTAGTTTCATTATATGAAAAATTTGTACTTCGAATCTTTGACTGTTTTCTTTTTTCGAGCTTTTAACTCACAAAACTTTAATCTCTATAGTTGTAGTAACATTGAACCACAAGATGCATTTTGAAGTTTTCTGGCAGCACTCGACGTAAATTGATACAAGTGACGCCCAATTTATATATGGAACGTTTAAAACCTTTATATTATCAGGAATAAGGGCTTTTTCCTTGCCCTTTACAATTAAAAGGTAAAAAAGGGCTAAAAAGACAAGTATCTTAAAAAAGGCAAAAGAGCAACATCAAATGTGTATATATGGAACCAGGGAAAGCTAAGACATGGACATTACAGAGAAAAATAAGTAAAGAGGACAGTATTTATAATCGTTTGTGCTGCAGAAACAAAATACAACTATGCTCTTTAAACGTCCTGAAAATAGTTTACATCAATTAATGTACTGCTTGTAGCAGTTTTGCTGTATACCTAAGTGAAATATAATCCTTGGTGAAAAAATGTATTTGTGGCTTGTTGTTCATAGGCATACATATTGTCTCCTCAGAAAACGTATGTTTATGTAATTTCTGAAGGAGACGTAGTGCCAGCGTGACGTCACGCTAGCTGAACCACCCACTAAATTTCGTCGAACACTGGTAAATATTGTTCAGGAATTAGGTGTTCTTTAGGGCCACTCGGTTTCCGAAATATTCGCACAAATGTATTTTGGGTCAGCCAGCGTGGCGTCACGCACAGGGCTGCCAACTATCCTTAGCTATGAAGTGCCATATTGAGGATAAAAATGCGCCAACTAGAAAAATAAAAGTGCCAAAATAGGTGCCATTCTTTTTAAATCTTCCCATTTAGCATTAAAACTAAAAACACATTCCTAAAACACAAGTCCAATGCCAAAATAAGATAAACCAGTTGTATACACTATAGAAATTAGAAAATTTTAGTTGAGAAAAAAGAGAACAAGCAAAGGATTTCACTAAAATGTATTGAAATATTACTATTTTTCAAAACTGCCAGTTTTGACACTTTGTGCCAAATCGAAAAATTAAGTGCCATTAGAAGTAAAATAGGGCCAAAAATGGCACGGTTTGAGCCAAGTTGGCAGCCCTGGTCACGCACAAACACTGGTAAATATTATTCAGGAATTAAGTGTAATTTAGGTGTTTTTTAGGGCCACCAAAATTAATTTCGGTGCACACTCGGTTTCAGTGAGCCACGCTGGTTGACCCAAAACAGATTTTTGCGAATATTTTGGAATTAATACAACTAAAGTAGTAGTACATTCAAGGATTTTATTCGCGAAAATCAAATGAAAATGCTGGCAGAAAACTTTAAAATGCATCTTGTGGTTCAATGTTACTACAACTATAGAGATTAAGGTTTTGTGAGGTAAAAGCTCGAAAGAAGAATAGTCAAAGATTCGAAGTACAAATTTTTTCATATAATGAAACTAGTTAATAGCTTTCTCTTTTTACTTGTAAAATAAACATTTCTAAAATAAATGTATTTTTTGATTATTTTTCGGTTTTTGTCTTTTTTAGTGCCTTTTTCTGCCTAATTCGCTATTTTATTTCGCCTTTTTTATAGGTTTTGCCTTTTTTATAGGTTTTTAGGTCCTAAAAATCCGTTCCCTGCACATATACA